GAGAATGTACGAGATATGATATACTAAGAGAAATGTTATAGGTATGTTCTCAATATATTACGTACGTTATTTCAATACATTAACCACATCAATGCAGTTGATCAGGTTGTAGCAACCAGAAATATGTTAGGGTGACACTTACCTTGAATACATTCTGGTTGCAACAACCAAATATCACTGCTGCAATACCAATAACTCTGTAATTGTATGTGTTGCAACTAATGGTGTGTTACAGCAACTATATAATTAACGTACGTTTAATACGTTTACAGAATATTTAGTAAAAAAATAATATATACAAATGATATTGTGGTCTGGGATGTACTCTTGAATTACACGCACATAGTTTATAGGATTGAAAGGAATCAAAATTTAAATTGATTAAATAAAATATTTCTTCGTGATCCATACGCCAGAGTAAAAATTATTTTTCGTACTTTATTTACGGTTAAAAATTGATATATTTCAGTTACAACATATATGATGAATACCCATTGATAAGTAAAATATGATAATACTTGGTCGACTCCTTATTTCTTATGTTGGAGCTGATTCATAATTATCTTTACTTAAAATTCTCTTTTTGCACGACTCCATTAAGGACGTACATATTATCGTTCATCGCACATATATCGCGTAGATAAAGTGTTTCTCCGCTCAGATGCGTACGAGACGCGCGAGTGTAACCACTACAGATCACTACTCTGTAATCCTTTCTCCAACGTGTAGTACAAGACATACGTGGCCACCACACATTTTAATTGAAGAGTACCTAAAAGTGAGAAAAAAATGACCGATATCAATCCGGAAATTCTAAAGGTATTCGGGTTCTGGGGCAGTATATTGGTCCTAAAATTACTAGCAATGGTGCCATTAACTGTACGTCAACGATATCGCAAACAGGTATGTGTAATAAGTCCCCTCCCGCAACGTGTTATACTCTCGTTAAGATATGGTATGAATCGGTGTTTCCTGCTACGTTATCTCTATTTTACATAATATTATATTTCCTGCTCTTTCATCAAGCGACGAAAGATAAAATATCGAATTTGTTATTTAAATAAATTAAGGATATACAGCAATGTACGAGAAACCGCCGTGTTTTGAATAATATATACACACAATATTTGTGAGAGGAAAACAAGATCAATTGGTGCTCGGATTATTAATTGTATAAGTGTTAAAGGTTAAGAGAGTAAGATCAGAAGGATTCCTGTCACGGTTGCATACTTAATTCCACGTCTAAAGCACCGAATCATTCCAACTCAACGACCTCTTAAGGGGATTCTCGTAACTGCTAAACTCTACACAGCTTACCAGCTAAGTGGAATTGCGCATTTTTCATGCTTTATAACCTACGTGTATGTTTCATGAATCCGCACATATGCGACGCGATATAATTCTGCAAGACTGTATTTTCATAGTTATCCACGCGATAGATAACTATGGCCGGTATTTATAGTCGAATCTTATTTCAAGACTATCTTAAGTAATGTTTTAAGATGCGAATACGGCTTTGTGATTGGTTCATGACATCTTAAGCAGTACTTACGATGATTTTAAATATAAGATCAGATTATGAATACCGGCCTATGATAATGAGTTTTATAAACGAAGATACGTGATGTTTCCACAATGTAGAAGCATATACTTTGCCAGGTACATACAAATTCATTTATTTTATAAAAATTCTCATTACTTTTTAGAATTTTTATAGCACGGCTGTTTTGAAATACATAACAATGAAAATACAGTTACAAAGATATGTTGTATTACTCATACTATAAATACGTATATATAAGTAGATTTTTGCGAAATATTTAGATAATGATGAACAAGTGAATATTACGTTATAAACTAACAATATACTGAGAGGTCAGATCAGTCGGTAATATCAATGCTCTGCAATATGCCCAACAGATTCGACTAATGTCGCGCAATTCTTAATTAACGATTTTGTTTTCCTCTTCTTTTTATGATGTTTTCTTGAGAAAAACTCTTGTAAAAAACACATTAATAATTCTTATAGGTATTTGCTAATGCCGTCGATTTTGCCCCGTCATCAAAAGCGAAGGTGGCATTCGATGATCCGGATGTAGAGCGTGTAAGAAGATCTCACTTAAACGATTTGGAGAACGTTGTGCCGTGGTTCATAATGACGTACATCTGGCTGAGCACTGGACCTTCGATACTATTGGCGAAGGTGCTGATACGAACCTTCGTACTTTCTCGAATAATCCATACTCTGTCGTATGCGGTTATGTCACAACAACCCACAAGAGGTATAGCTTTCTTCGTTGGATACGGTATTATCTGCTTTGAGGCGATTGCGTCGCTATTACATTACTTGTAATTTTTCCGTGCAACTATTCAACAGAAGATGGTATAATGAACTTAGCAGGTTGAACAGAAATAGTGGGATTTACATATGGAATCAAGAATGAAATTATTACTCCTCGCAGGCTTATAGACGAAGTTTGTAATTAATAAAATCGTATCTTTAACGATTTTTTTACAAATGTAATATTTCAAAGTATACATATAATCATACATGTATGTTTTTTTAATATACGTAAATATACTGATATTCAGATATTGAAACGAATTTCATAGAGATACCTCAAATAAGTTCATGAGGGAAAATATACTGGATATAATCCAATATGAAACCGCTCATATCACAGATGAAAGAAAACAGGTGCATATTAAATGCATGTTACATTGCGATATTACATGTCATGACTCCATCTTTATGCGATAAAGAAAATTATTTTTGTTATAAACTCACACGCTTCTCGAGCATTCCCCAAAGTGCGAGCGCCATTGCGCCTGTTATCGCTCTCAATTATACTTGAAACACCCCTGGTAAAAATAACTGATAGAAACAGACAGGATTGCTATCCGTTTCTAACTGTAAGCTGTCGTTCTATCTGCAAATACAACATGCGGATAGAAAATCCGCATTTGCAGCAATACATTCTATCCGTTTCTGTCCGTATCCTATACGTAATCACATTTCAACTGCATCTGTCCACAATTATGTACAAAAATTTTGTCGATTGCTGTCTGCATTCTATACGTCACGATTCCTATCTGCATTTGTCCGCAATTACGTACAGCAATCCTGTCGTTTCTGTCCGCATCTTGCACGTAATCACACTTCATCTGTATCTGTCCGCAATTACATATAGAAATCCTGTCAGTCTCTGACTGCATCCTATACGCCGCAATTCCTATCTGCATCTGTCCGCAATTACGTACAGCAATCCTATCTGTTTCTGTTTGTAAATGTGGATATGCATCCCTTACGTTTCTGTCTGCAGAACCAGCTAGGATATTTATCTGCCCCTATGTATGTAAAGACGAGCTGCCTCCCTATACCCGTTTCTTACTGTTGATATACAGTATGTTTGATAAGAGCGTGTACGGCAAAACTCAAAAAC